ATACACACTTAAAACACAAACATTTAAAAATGCACATATTTAAAAACATATAGACAAACACACTTAAAAGCATACACTTAAAATGCATGCATACTTAAAACAGGCTTCAAATGCACACACACACACGCTTCATAAGAAAACCCACACTACTGAATTGTTCAAGTTGCATCTGGGTCACGGAGAAGTCTATCCACAAAGGACAATGTGAGGAAAAGGGTGGGCGCAGCAGCTTTCACCCCTACACCAAGGGCTGGCTCTGCAACCATGGGAAGTCACTAGATGAACAGTGGGCTGTTTCCTCGCCTTAAGGATTAAACTTCTTGTCTTACCTAAAAAAATAAAAAAGAAACCCAGTGAACTATCAATGTGTGAAGAGAAAGAAAACATACATTGGTTCATTCAATAAATATTTATTGCATATTTACTACATGCCAGACAAGAGGCTCAGATATACAGTATTCAGAAATTAAAGGAGTGTCCTACCCTCAAAAACAAACAAAAATACTCATCTTTCTAATAATACACCTTACAATTTTTAGAGAAATAAAGATTAAAAAGTACAGAGAATTACAAAAGCACTAGCAAGAATGGAAAATGAGAGGATGTGACACTAGCTGAGTAGGAGCAAATACCCCGGCAAAGAATGTTCATTTCAGAGATGCTGAGCACACTTGACGACTGACTTACACATGTAATTCCTGCACTCTGGGGGCAGAGGTGCCGCCACAAGCCAAGTCCAAGGCCAGCCTAGTCAACATAGTGAGCAAACTGAGCTACAGAGCTTGGTCCTATTTTTAAAAAAAGGAAGGAGGGAGGGAGGGAGGAAGCAGTGGAGGGGGGGGATAAAGGAAAGTTACTAATAGTTTTTTCCCCCCGAAAAAGAAACTACATGTAGTGATCTCGAATCACAAATCGCTAAAGTTATGGAATAGTATAAAGGGAAGCCAGCCAACAATCTATAGCATACAGAATAATCATGTTCTTGACATGGGGTTTCAAGACCTTGTCATGTCATCACACAGCAAGTCCTGGTTACCTGGAAAGGTGAAGTCACTACACGTTGCATTTTTATATTCCAAAATTGACATTTGTTACTAAAAACAACTTCACCTATTTCAGCACCGAGCAGGTATTTCTTTCACTTACCAGATGTATGTATTCCAAGTCTATCTCTAAGTACAACACTAACTGTCCAGTGTCCAAATTCTCAACAGCAAAGTACAAACGTCAGTGAAGAGAATGAACTTTAAGGACAGGCATACTCGAGGCGGCAGGACTGCAGGCAAGGGTCGGAAAGGAGATTTCAAAGCGGTAATTTGTCAAGGTTTCCTTCCAAATACAAACGGTCTCTATGAGAAAAAAACAAACAAACCTGACTCTGGACTTACACTGAATTTTAAGAATCCTCTCTTTGAGAAGGTACGGTGTTAGAAAGATGCCTGCTCTTGTGGAGGACCGAGTCTGTCGCGGGCGCTGTGGGGCAGCTTACATCCACCTGTTAACTCCAGTTCCAGGGGATTTCATGCCTTCTTCTGGACTTCACGCACACTCAGACATACACACACGATTAAAAATAACAATGTTAAATGTTGGTGCTCTCTTCTCTCGTTCTTTCCGCCCATCCCTCTTAGGTCACTCAAACACGTATGGAGTCCTGTCCACTATTTCCTTCCCATTTGTACCTCTGAGTTTTTTATTAAAATGAAAAAGGAATTCTATGGGAGATATCCTCTTGCCCAGGCCTCCCTAGTGCTAGGATTAAAGGAGTATGCCACCACCGCCTGGCTTACATATCAGTATTTTAATAAAGAGAAAATGATACTTAGCTAGCTTTGGGAGTGTACACCTCTAATAATAACATTGGAGAAGCTAAGACGGGAGGTTTACAAGGTCTGGGCCAGCCTAGGCTATAAAACGAGACCCTGTCTCCAAACAAAATACAAAATGAAGAACTGGCTAGATGCGGTGGAGCATTTTAGTGCCAGCCATCAGAAGGCTGACGCAGGTGATCCCTGTGAATTCAAGGCCAGCCTGGTCTACATAGCGAGCTCCAGGACATCTACATAGAAACACAGTCTCAAAAACAAAAAGTGAAAGTGTCCCTCAGACTATCTCAGACTAACTGTGCTCTTTATTCTAGACTTCCGCCCCTCCCGCGCCTATTCTGGAAACTCAACCTGCTCCATGTGAAGACGTGTTTTCTGTCTTCCTAAGCGTCTCTCCTCCCAAGCTAGTTTCTTACTGTCCACATCTTCCCGTTTTTACTTAACTCCCCCACTCGACAGTAGGCACAGGGCCATCTCATTTTTGCTATAATTATGAAGCAAAGGGCATAATGAAAAGAACACACATGGGGAAACCTAAATCATTAAACCTTGGTCCTCAATTTAGTTTCTGAATTTTCCTATGAAAAGTTTACAGAAAGGTGACAACCAGAAGGGAGCTTTCTTCTACGAGTCTTTAAGTGAAAAATCAAGATACAACCTCAGGCCCTAGGAGGCACTCCTCAGAAACTGCAGGGAAGGCAGCAGAGGCACTAGATTCTTGCCCCAAATTTACTTTTGCCATATTCTCACACTTAGAATAAAACAGGAAGAAGGAGCTGGACAGACGGCTCAGTGACTGAGAGCCAGGTTTGAGTCTCAGCACCTAAATGGTGGTTGACAACTGTTTATAACTCTAGTTCCATAGGATCTAACATGATGGTACAGATGCATACATGCAGGCAAACACTCATACATATAAAATAAAACCAAACACAGGCACACACCTATAATACCAGCACTTAGGAAATAGAGGCAGGCAGATCTCTGTACTCCATGAGTTCAAAGCCAACCTGGTATACACAGTGAATTCCAGAAAAGTCAGGGAGACATAGAGAGACCCTGTCTCAAAAACACATTTTTAATTAAAATTTTAAAAGAAAAACAAAACATGGTGGATAGAGCCTGAATAATAACACTGGCAGCACCTGCACAAACATACTTTACACACATGTAACAGAAAATATAGGAAACATGTCTCAAAATACTGACACCTTCTGGAACTACTGATTTTTCCACTGAGTTATCTAGTATTTTTATAGCATTTCGAATGGTCAAAAATTGGCCAATCTCATAATGACCGGATGATCTACACAGACTACAGTCTCATTAGTACACTGAAGTAACATTTAAATGATCTGGGCTAGTAAGTATGTATGTTCAGAACAGTTTTTATATAAAGAAAACTTGTCTGCAGTAGCTCACAGTGCACTAACTTGATGAAAAGCAGTCTAAATTATTAAACACATCGCTGCCCTACTTAGCAGCTTGTGCTGAGGAAGCTGTTTATGATTAATTATGAGGATGACTAATCACTGCGTGTCACTAACATGCCCGAAAAGACGAGTCCAGAAGCCTGGCCACCCTGACACCCTTCCTACTGCCTCTTCCCTGCGATCTTCCTCCCTTTCTTACATGCCAACACTTCCTCACCTGCGCTTAGCAGAGCTTGTTCTCCTCACTCTCATGTCGAGCAAAGCCTTCCTTGCTTCCTGCTTCTGTGCTGCTCACTGTTTGCCTCTGGCTATTTCTGTCACTGGCTTTTCTGAACTTCAACTTTTTACATTCTTTGCTCCAGGCTTCTGCACATGTTGAGAAGGTAAACAGCACAAATTCAAAGCATTATCATTTTACTGCTATCTCGCTCCCCCATTCTCAACTGTAAAGTCACACAACAGATCCCTTTCTGTGACTAGCTCCTATACCAAATCCTCACAAAGATCCCCAAAGAGGTAAGCGCTAAGAAAGTATAATAAGAAACTCAAGCCATTTACCATTATGTATACAATATGGCAAAGTACATTCTTTTGGGCACTGAGGATTTATACCTTAAAGAAAGATGACAAACGCTGTCACCTTTAGTTGATTTTATTCCTCCTATAACTATACTTCATCTGGACTGTTGTCACTATAATCTTAGAAAAGCACTTAATAAAATCTTAATTAAACCTTAATTAAAAGCTTTAAGCCATTAGGTCATCAATCCCCACAAAAGGTTTTAAGAGTGTCTATTCTCGTGGGCTTCAAAGTTCACTTTCATTTCTGCTTATCTCTAAGGTAATAAACTGAAAAATACCCAAATTCTTTCAGGGTGGAATCCGGTTAAAAGAACCCACTGCTGATGGGGCTGGAGACACGGCTCAGTGGCTAAGAGCACCTGCTGCTCTTGCAGAGGACAAGAGTTTGATTACCAGCACCCACATAGGAGCACGCAATTGTCTATAACTCCAATTCCAAGAAATCCAAAACCTTCTTCCAAGCTTCGCAGGCACTAGGCATGCACATGGTGCACACACATGTATTCAAAGCAAAACACTCGTACACATACTCAAAAAACATAAAACAATCCACCGAATAAAACTACATTACAAATTTACAAAACAGCTACGAATATACCCTAAGCCCTGCTGAGTAGTCTTTTGCATATTTTAACATCAAGTGCATGTATAAATGGAATCTGCATGTCTTCCTGATATGAAGTATATCTGAGGTAGAGTGAAATAAAGGAAGATGAAAGGAAAACAAAATCCCACTAGACTGCACAGTTCATCTCTCCAGTCTCACGTGTTGAGTACTGGCTTCTCAGAGTGAGCAAACACTGACAATACTGCTCTCTTAGATTACCTAAGAAGCACTGAGATGATCTGGTTATAAAAATGTATTAATAGCATTTTACCTATACTGATAGAGTGTGCTAGAGAAATGTTAAGGATCTTAATGGGTTAACATTTACTCCTCCCTAGGACCACATGCATCAGATACAGCCATCACTCCCCCACTTTTCGGATGGGAAGGAAGCTAGAGAATGTACAGTATTCACTCTAGAGGAGGCTCGAGCAGCAACCAACAGTCTGCCTTCCACCAGCACATGGGTGAGTTCAACCTACTCAGGTAACACCTCACCTTTTCCCATGCTCTTCTTTCTTGCGGAGAAATTGAAAATATATTACGAAAATATATGATCACTATAAGATATATTGCCTTTACTTATTTTGTTTTAGGAACTAGAGTATTTCCCCATTATAAGTATTTAAAACTGGATACACTGGACATTAATACATGAAAAACAATGCAAAAATAACATGTTTGAAAAGAACATAGCCAGACAGTTGGTATTCCATTGAAGTATCTTAGAATAAAACAAGTTTTACATCTTCATTTAACAACACTGAAGAATGAGGTATTGAATGTTTTCATCACAGACGTTTACTGCATGAAATAAGCTGTATTCACACTAGCATGTTACAGGAGTACCACTGTGCCAATAGAAGGCACTGCAATTGAACAGAGTTACATTGCCATGAGAAACCAAATATCATAACTTTCAGAGTCCACAGTTTTATTTTTCCTTCAAATGTTATCATGGCATCTTTTATGTGATAGGTTATATTCAAGTTACGTATTGTCTTTAGGTTGATTTACATTTCAGAAGTCCTATAGGGACTTAATATCTATATATTAAGCAAATGGCTAGAGAAAACAGGAGAATTTAATAGAATTTAAGATGTAGCATGTGGTTTCTAAGATAGATTTTCAAATACAACATAACACACTTCATTTAGTTGTAAACAAAATGCAAAATCTGAAGTCATAAAAAATATTTTATTGGTAATCTTACATAAGTGAGTGGGGTTGTAAATACTTTTATTTCAAGATATTGATAAATGCATAAATTAAAGGCTGTATCTGGAAATAGAGTACTATGGTTTTCATATGAATTGTTCTATTTAATAAAAGGCCAATTAAACTGATCTAAGATCAACCTCCTGGTTCTATGCAATAGTCACCATGTTTATGTTAATTAGATTCACATGTCTATGACCGTGGATAGGTTTGGAACAAGGAAAACAGTGTTAAACTATCATTAAGTTAAAGACTTTCCAAGTATGGCAAGTTCTTTTCTGTTTCTGCCAGATGCTTATACTTCTTTATCTTTAATGTCTTAGAGAATACAGGAAAAACCAGTGTTCAATGACAACAGCACTAAACCTGAATTAGAAAGCTAAACGATCCATTTTTTATTGTTTACAATTCTGCTAGTAAACATTACAATAAATTGATGCTTTGAAAAAATAAGCAAACTAAACAAACATAAACTGTAAAATGGATAAAACATAATTCAGAAACAATAATTTAGTAAGAACATGTCAAACACATTGGCAAAGGTTCATACAAATTCTTTATTTAATAACAACTTTCCTATTTAACCACACCAAGTACCAGCAGGTGCATTAAGAGGATAACCATTAAGAAAATCCTGTTGCAGCCATAGTTGATTAAGTTGATCTCTGACTTGCATACATATAACTATTTGTTTCACAATTCTCAAATAATACATATTTAGGCAGCTTGCACTATGTAATAAAAAATTTAAACTCATTACATGCCGATAGTAGAGAATTCAATAATTATGTGTTAGAATTCACTAAACTATAAGTGAAAATAGACTTACCAATAACACTGCATAATGAATAATTCAACCACATTTTCATGGCATTTAACACCAGAGACCAAAATGATAAGTCTGGAAACATTTGGTAGCTTACACTGCAATAAAATCTAATAAGTCCTGGCAAATTCATATTTCATGTAAAACACAAATTCTAGGTTATGCACGAATGTGTCTGTCATGAAAATGTGGTAGTTCCTGGCATAATCTGTATTTCCATGGGAGGAGGCGTGACTAAGTGGAGCACGAACGCTTAGTGAGACTCTCCATTCAGGGGTGAGGCTTCTCCCCGAGGAGAGGAGGACCTGGACACACCCCGCTCAGTGTTGTCGGAGCTGCAGCTGCTCTGGCTGTGCTGATCCCCAGCAGCAGCACTGGATGCTGGCGCTGACTTTGCTTTCTCCTTAAAGTCTGTAATAATGACTGTTAGATCTCCAACAGTGACTTCCAAATGCTGAGCACTACTCCGATCCACATTTTTTAATCTTGGTCTAAACACACACACACACAAAAAAAAAAAAAAAACAACAACAATGAGTTTTTTAAGCAAGCTTTTCCCAGTATCAAATTTCTGAGAACATACTAAATACCAAGCAAAGTTATAAAATGAGTGAATCTCTGTTTAAAGCAATTCATGTGTAGTAAACCACAAACGTATCACAAAATATTTCAACACATTGACATTGACCAAACAAAATCATTCATCAACTTTTTCACGTTAAGATGACTGACAGCCCAGATATAATGGTTTAACCATGCTTTAACATCTTACTGAAGTTTGCAGGCAGCTTAAGAATTTTATTCCAATAGATGTCTTACGGCAACAAAGACACAACTGGACCCCAAAGACAGATGATAAAAGCTAAGACTGGGGACTGGAGAGACAGCTCAGTGGTTACGAGTACGGGCTATTCTTCAAGAGGACACAGGTTTGATTCCCTAGCATCTCCATGGCAGCTCATAATGCTCCTAACTCTAATCCAAGGGATGCGACATACTCCTCTGACCTTTGCAGGCACCAGACATAGACAGTGCACAGACATATATGTAGGCATAGCATTCACACACATAAAACAATGAATCTTTAAAATAACAAAATAAAAGTAAGGCTAGGCTAACCTCTCTCTCCATTGCTGTATACTGACTGTTACATGACCCACAACCATGATACTGGTCAAAAGTCATGCAAATATCCACTCATTGTTCTGAATAAGTTTCCTGAACTTCAAGTACCTCTTCTTTTTAATGAAAAAGACATAAATTTATGTCTTCTAAATATCTACTAAAAGAGAAAGCCTCTTCACATTTAAGATAATATTTTGACCTTTCCTGATTTCCAACATAACTTTCATGCTCAGAAAATGTTTATGATATTTTATATTGAGATAAAATAGCTTACTTTCACTCTGCTTATAAGGATAAGATCAAAGTTAAAAAAGAATAGTGAATGATTACTTTTATTCTTTGAAAAGTACACGAAACACTTTCTTACCTGGATTTTTTATGACAGTTCTTTTTGCTAGTTGCTTCCTTCTCACTTTTTTCTTTTTCTACTTTATCTTTCTTCTCTTTCTTTGACTGGGTAGGGGGCACAAACTGCTGAGTAACCTGCTGTGCGACCAGCTGGGAGACAGGTCGAGGTTTCCTGTATGCAGTAAAAAGAAAGGCTTTTATTATAACTTAAAGATACACATTCTTATAAAGAATAGCATGTTATGAGGATATATTTTTATGAAGATTTCAAGTATAAAAGTTCCTTGTCTGTGAAATATAGATTTTCATTCCTTTTCAACAAAATAGAACAAACTATCATAACAGTTCAAATTTTAAGTCCAAGATATATGGTCAAACTATTAGAATATAACTGTATATAATAAAGGAACATGTGACATTATTTAAGATGTATTATCTGAGAAAATAAGGCACGTATAATAATAAACATGAATTTTAGACATTTAACACAAAAGCTCATACTTTAGTTTCTGTTGCCATCACGGTTGAGACTAAAGGACAGGCCCTCACACATGCAACGTGTAAGCTAAGGCACACCCCAGCCCCAAGAAGGTGTTTCAGCCCATCCTTTCTCCTGAGAGAAAGACCTAAGGCTCTATGGTAACATCAATTTGTTCCCTCTCTAGAATCCTTAATTCATTAATTCATTCACTGATTATGTGTTTATTGTCAAATTCATTACTGAAATCATAGACTCCTGTCTCTGGCTACAATCTTCCTATGAGTTTCTGTTGCTGGAATACGGCAATTCTCTGAGGTTTTCTGACTTCCACATTTTAAAGGTACCTTCTAAAAAACTACTGCAGCACTTATTTCAGGGTACATATCTGGCTCTTCCTTTGGATGCAAGAATGAGGAAGGATCCTATCACTCCAGATCAAGGACCCCTCTAACTGTGACAGAGCTTGGGCAACTGAGGAAAGATTAAGAAAAAACAATCTCTTAAATTCCTAAAAAATAAAGAAAAATAAAGGAGGAGGACAACAAGGAATGGAGAAATATGGGCAAAACAAAAATATATTTAACACATGTTTTATAAATGATGGTAACTTTATTGCCTAGAAAATCCTATTCTAGAAAAGCATAAAACCCAAAGAAGCAACTTAGACTAGACAGTATTAATTAATATTACCCAACTGTGTATGTAGAGGAGCAGAAGGGAACACTTGAGAACACTAAACATTCTCCTGTGGCCTTAAAAAACCCCAAAAAACCCAACACACGTTTTCCTTCCTCGGTAGGTCCTAGCGCACAGTGTGTGTGCATATATGCGGGCAGAGTATAACATGTAGAAAGGAGAACAAGAAAGGGTCCACATAGTAGGTAATGAGGAAGCAGGGAACACAGGAAAGAGCATCTGAGTCGTGAAAGAAGACATAAAGCTAATTGTTATTCTTGTTTCAACTCTTGTCATGGTTATGCCTTGATACAGTGCAAGATCTAACATGAAGCTTCACAGCTTCAGAATGGCTATTCTAACTGTACAGAAATTCATTTAGATGTTCAGACGTTTGATCTACCTAATTTGGGAATGTACTTTTTTATTTGCAAGTTCTTTCTTCTTTTTGTTTTGTGCCAGGATTTGCACTATGTAGCCTGGGCCATTGTGGAACTCACTATATAGACCAAGCTAGCCTCAAACTCAGAGATCCGATTGCCTCTGCCTCCCAAATTTAATGGGATTAATATGCAAGTTTTTTACAGTAAAGTTTCAATTAAAAATTTATTTTTAATAAATGCTATCCTATATTGGACAGAGAATTATTTTAAATCTTCCATGTCTTTTTTAATTATAGCAGGACAAAAAATAGGGAATGAGAAAATATTGCATAATCAAACATTAAAAGTTTGAAGGTGAGCAGGGAATATATAAGAAGCATGAGTGTAAAACAAATTTCAGGAAATGGGTTGTGATCATTTAGAGCCTGGAAACATACCAAAGATAGTCTTACACTAATTTTAAAAATAGGTTTGAAAGAAATCAGGGTTCAATGTCTAGAATGAGTTCACACTGACAGTGCTTGAGGAGACGATTCCATGAGTCAGGTGCTGAGGAAATGGTTCCATGAGTCGGGTACTTGTTGTGTACCTGAGTTCAGATCACCAGCACTCAGGTAAAAGCTGGACATGCCTCCTGACACACCTGAAAAATCCAGTGCTGGTGATGAGAACAGATATGGATGACAGCTAAGGCTTGTTGGCATCAGCCTAGCAAGTTTCTAGGTTCAGTGAGAGAGCCTAATTCCAGGGACTAAGGTGAGGGTTGGGGGGATAAGAAGGCTAGAGGAGAACACTACACATCCCCATGGCCTCCAAGGACAGGCCTGTGTGCATCTTCACGTACATATACACATGCATAGACCACACATGCAAAACAGTTACACATATGAAAGTGGCTTAAAGGTAGTGTCTTTAATGGTTAGCTCTGTTAAGGGAAAGAACACAACAAGGGTTAAGAGAGTAGTTCATATATTAAAGCAATATCAGAATTTTCTGGAAGGCTTTTTGTCTTGCCAACTCCTTCCTTCATAATTTCTGATTCAGTAACTTCAGGGTGGAGACCAAGAATTTGCATTTCTGACTAGTTTTCAAGTAATGTTAACCTTACAGACATTGGGATGTTGTATGAGAAAATGCCTCCTGGACAGAGAACTCATGACAAAGTACAGACAACAGACACCACCAAAGTTCAATTTAGTGAACCAATGAATGAGCTTTATTGGGGTTGTGTACAGGAATATAGGTGAGGGTTACTTACAGGAGCAGAAATGACTCAAAGACAACTGCATCACCAAAGCCCACACCAGCATAGGTAACAGTTCACAAAGCTAGGACCTGGAGCACAGTACACAGCTTGCCGGCAGCTCAACAGGTTAGAGAGTGTCCTTTCAAGAAGCCTCAGTTGCTCTAAAACTCTACCAGGCAGCTGGGCTGGTTTCTCCTTCTTCCAGGAAGCTGATCCAGTCTCAGAGTCTTCTTTGCAGCTTTTCTCCTCTGAGTCAGAGAAGGAGTCATAAGACATGTAGAAAATCCTGGGACTGTTTCAGCAGAAAGTCCCAGACTGCTAAGAGCAGCAGTGGAATAAGAATGCTACACCGATAGCACCCGAAAGAAAGTTAAGGGGTATTAATTGGTCTTCAGAAACAGAGAGTCACTGGAGAAACTCAAACTTGACGAAGACTGAAGAATTTAGTCTAAAGCAAAAAGGTTCTACAAGACAAGAAAGTTGCTTGTTATCTCCTTTAGTAGACTAGGAAGAAAGGTATTCTTTTTTTAAATGCCATAGAAAAATAAACTGAGAAAGAGAAAATAAATAAATAAAAAGGTCTAATATAAAGAAGGAGCAATGGACATCAGACTCTCTGGAGACAAAAACCAAAAGTGTGTGGTAACTGATTAGCTGTGCCCTCATTACTTCTAATCAAGAGATACTCCTTAATCAAGAAATAAAAATTCTTGACTGCATGTAGCCAATATTCCACGGTTTAATACAATGATAGAAATATTAATGTCCCTGATGTGTGATTCTCCTCTGTACACTATAAATGTGTTTTATTACCATTTATTAATAAAGAAGCTGTTTCGGCCAATGGCTAAGCAGAGCAAAGCCAGGTGGGAAATCTGAACAGAGATATAGAGAGAGAGTAGGCAGAGTCAAGGAAACAACATGTAGCTGATGAAGAAGAAAGATCCCCGCCAAAACCTTACCAGTAGGTTAAAAGGGTTGTACCAGCTTGCATTCCCACCAGCAATGTAGAAGTGTTCCCTTTTCTCCACAACCTCCCCAGCATACATTGTCATCAGTGTTTTCGATCTTGGCCATTCTTATAGGTGTAAGATGGAATCTCAGAGTTGTTTTGATTTGCATTTCTCTGATGACTAAGGATGTTGAACATTTCCTTAAGTGTCTTTCAGACATTTTAGATTCCTCTGTTGAGAGTTCTCTGTTTAGGTCTGTACTCCATTTTTTTTATTGGATTATTTGTTCTTTTGATGACCAATTTCTTGAGTTCTTTGTATATTTTGGAGATGAGACCTCTGTCTGATGTGGGGTTAGTGAAGATCTTTTCCCATTCTGTAGGCTGTTGTTTTGTTTTGTTGACCATGTCCTTTGCTTTACAGAAGCGTCTCAGTTTCACAAACTCCCATTTATTAATTGTTTCTCTCAGTGTCTGTGCTGCTGGGGTTATATTTAGGAAGTGGTTCCCTGTGCCAATGCATTCAAGTGTACTTCCCACTTTCTCTTCTATAAGGTTCAGTGTGGCTGGCTTTATGTTGAGGTCTTTGATCCATCTGGACTTGCACACTCCCCACTTTTCATGCATGAATAAAACAACTGTGCAACTCACAAATCTTACAAGATAGTTGCTACTTTGTCTTTTTTATTCTTCTAAGTCTTATGTATGCTTGACAGATATCCTCTCTCTACAATAATTATTCCTTGTGGGGGCAGGCAGGGTTAACCACTGTAAAAGTAAGCATCTATTAGTACAATATAATTTACAACATAAATCCATAAAGTGGAATCAGATCCTTTATTTTAAATGAACTATCAATCTAGAATATTCCTAAAGTACTACACTCTCAATGTAAAGAACAAAATATTTGAGAATATTATAGTTCAGGAGGCAAAACCAATGGAGAACTAGTTGAATTTATCAGGGGAGAAATAGAATGTATCAGGCTATAAACAAATAATATTAGATCTCTACTATGGTCCAGTAAGCTAGAAATTAAGTAATGCACTCTTAATGTATACCTGGATATAAAGGGATAAGGAGCTGATAATCATGTAAGGAAAAGAAATAGTGGATCTATGAGAACAACAATGGCTTTCTCTAAATAATAGAACCAATAAACTTGATCTTGGGCATGCAAAATATTATGGCTGGAATGTAAAATGTCTCCCACTGACTCATCCTATGTTTGAACAACTGGTCTCCAGCTGGCAGTGTTGTTTTGGGAGACTATGGACACTTTTAAAACAGAAGTGGACTGAACCACTGGGGAAGGCTGTCAAAGTGACATTCATTTTTGGTTCTGGCAGGATGTGAAGAACAGCCCAAGCTATGTGCTCCCTCTGTGAATATGGACTGTACTATGAAGCCATGGGCCATTTAAACCTCTTCTCCA